AAAAGCTTGGAGATGGAAGAAAATTCCTGAGTGAGGAGGAAAATTCCATCAATGGAAAGATCTTAAAGCCAGGCCAGTCCTGCTGCATTCAGGGACTGGCCACACCAGTTTGGTGTGAAAGCCTGGAGATTTCCATGTGTCCTCAGCCGTGCATGAACCCCCCTTCCCCAATGCCCCAGCCGCCAAAATAAACCTGGGGAAACGCTGTCCCCAGCCAGTCCTGGGGATGGAGGTACCCAGGGGTCCTGAATTCCTGGAGGGTGGAAAACCTGGAGGGGGCAGGTGCTTATCGCTGCTCTGTGCCCGTGTGCTCGGGGTGACAGCAAAGGCAGAGCTCTGGAATGAGGAAATGTCCCCGAGGAAATGTCCCCTGCGCTCCTGCCACATCCCAGCCCTCCCCACCCGCATTTCAGAGGGAGGGGAGGAGAGCTCTGCTCCATCTCACGCCAGAGTGGGTGCCCCCCACCCATAGCCGAGGATCAAACCGTGAACCAAGAGTTTCTTTGGCCTCAAACGAAAGTTTTCATCTTTTTTGTTTGCTTTTTCCTCCAGCGAAGCCGGGTCTGGGCTGACTTCCTTTGCTTTCAGGTTCACTTTGAAATAACAAGCTGAAAAGCCGAGAGGCTTCGTTTTTGAGCCTGCCAGGGAATGGCCGACTTCAGAAGGAAACAGAAATATCGGGAAAGCTTGATGTTAACTGTTTCATTGTTTCCAAGAGGAAAAAAAAACCCCTGTAATTCCCTCTGGGACGGACTTTAGCCGGGATGCACAAATACTGCTGGCTCCACAGATCTCTTGTTCTGCGCCTGTATTTGCGTTTTGGAGGGAGGAAGGGGAGCTCGGAGCTGGAATTCCAGGAGGGAATGCCTCTCCCGGGAACGGTGAGGACGGAATGTCCCCAGCCCCGAGGAGCAGGACACAGGTGAGGCCGGGAGAGGCTGCTCCTGCCTGGAATGGCAGAGCTTTGGGGCGCACGGTGCCCATGGAGAGCCTCCCCTGGGAATTGTTCCCTGCCTGGGAATTCCGGGAGCCGGCGGTCTCCTGCTGATAGCACAGCCCCGGGTAACTCATTGACCTCTGCTGGGAAGCGGAGGTTCCCAGGATGATAAGGAGCTCCTGGAAGGAATTCCTGCCCTGGTGTGAGGGAGTGGCAGAGCTGGGCACGCTCGCAAACACGTCCGCAGCCCCGGGAGCTCCATCCCGGCAGCGCAGCGCTCCCTCGGGGCTTGGAGAGGCTGGAATGTCAGCCAGGAGCTCTCCGGGAGGGAAGCGGAGCTGGGAGCAGGTCAGTAGAGCTGTCTGTCCCCGGGGCTGTCCCTCTGTCCCAGCTGAGCCGCCGCTGGTGGCTGGAGCGATCCAGCGCCTCTGGAATTGCAGCTGGGCTGTGGAGCTGGGGCTGTGGAGCTGGGGCTGTGGAGCTGGGCTGTGGAGCTGGGGGTCTGGAGCTGGGGGTTTGGAGCTGGGGCTGTGGAGCTGGGGCTGTGGAGCTGGGGCTGTGGAGCTGGGGCTGTGGAGCTGGGGCTGTGGAGCTGGGGCTGTGGAGCTGGGGCTGTGGAGCTGGGGGTTTGGAGCTGGGCTGTGGAGCTGGGGCTGTGGAGCTGGGGGTCTGGAGCTGGGGCTGTGGAGCTGGGCTGTGGAACTGGCTGGGTTTGAGGATCAGTGATGAGCACGGCCGGGAGGGACACGCTGCCTTTGGCTCCTTTGGGAACTGGCAGGAGGAACCAGAGCTGAGTTTGGGAAAGGGGGTTTGGTGGCAGGGCTGGGTGGCAGCTCTGGACCCCAGGGTGCCCGGCCAGCTGCTCCCATCCCGCTCCGTGCCCAGGGCAGGGAAGCGTGGCTGCACCAGAGCTGCAAAGCGAGCAGAACCCCTGGAGGGCTGGCACAGGCAGAGAAACCCCTCTGGAACAGGCTGAGATGCCAGGAAATATTCCAAACTTACCAAAACAGGGCTTTTCCAGGGAGGCCAGGCTGCAGCAGCAGCAATGGGGGCTCTCCTGGGGAGATCCAGGGTTTGTTGGCAACCAGAAAGGAAGGAATTGGAGTGAGATGTTTTCAGCTTGCTGGTCAAAAGGCAAATTCCAGTTCAGGTCAAACAGGAGGGGACACCTTTGCTTGTACAGGGATGGGTTTTGTTACTAAGTTGTCAAGGTAGGCTTAAAAACAAAAAGACATTTCACAACCACAAAGATATTTGTGTTTAAAACATTTTTAAAACCCATTTTTTTATTTAAAAAAAATATTTCCCTGTGTAGAAGGAATTGATGCTAATTGGTGAGCAGGAGCTGCTAAAACCAAGAATCTTCTGAAGACAGCAAAAAATTTTGTTTAAAAACAGACCACTTGGACAGCATGGGACCAAAGCAGCAACACCTCCTGTGTTAAGATGTGCCTGAATCCATCACAAAATTCCATCTGTGTGCTCTGAACACAGGCAGGCTGCATTCCCCCTCTGATTCCTGCACCTTCAGAGCACCCCTAGGACAGCTGGGGGAGTTTTTTAAATGTGGAGTTTCCCAGGGTTGGTGAGTGATGGCTGCAATGGGAGCAGCGCTGCTCTGTCCTCCCCTCCCTGCAGCCCCACAGCTCTGAGTGCAAACCCCAGCCTGGAGAGCTCCCCGGGGCTCTGTGGGAGGATGGAGAGGATGCTCCCTTCTCCAGGCAATCCCAGCATTTGGAGATCTGGATTAGGAACCCCCGCTCCTCCAGTCTGCAACACTCCCTGCAGAGGCTTTTGGTTTGGCTTCATTTTTGTGTGGAAATTCCCAGGCAGGTGGGTTCCATCCTGCCCTTCCCACAGCCTCACACTCCTCACACTTTGCTTCAGGGGCATTGCACTTGTGCCAGGCGTGGGAATCCCTCTGGTGAGGAATTCCCTCGCTGGGTCATGGGATCATAGAGACCACCGGCTTTGGGTTAAAAAGCACCTTAAAATTTACCTCTGTTGGTGGGCAGGAATGCCTTCCACTGCACCAGTGTGCTCAGAGCCTCACCCAGCCTGGCCTAGATCACTGTCTGGGTTTATGATTCCCTACTCTGGAGAAGTTCAAGGCACTGCCATGGCTTGGGATGCAGCCTGGGAGAGGCATCAATTCCCCTGGAGCACCCCAGCACAGAAATCCCTGCAGTGGTGGCACTGGCTGGAGTAAAAATCCATCCCTCAAACCCCTCCCAACCTGAAAGTCCATCCCTCAACCTTTTGGGTTTTATTTTGCAGGGGCTGCACTGCTGTTGCCCGAAGATGCTCTGCAGACCACACACAGCGCAGTGAGCCCGCCCAGCCATCCCAAATCCTCACCCTGAGGATGTGAGTGAGGAGAGAATGAGGCTCATCCTCATCCTGGGATGCCCAAGGGATCCTGCACAGCTGCCAGACCAGTCCCTGCTGGTGCTGGGGTTTGGCCAGCGCTGAGCCCGGGGGTGCCCGCAGTGCCAGGGCTGCAGGAGCTCACCTGGATGTAGCTGGCAGAGATGCCCGTGGTGCTGCCAGCTGCCCCCACGGGGACACGGGAAAAGCACGGGGCAGGAAGGAGGCCCAGGAGCAGAGCCAGCCCCGGATGGAGGATGCTGGACACCCCCAGAGGTGAGGAAGGTGCTTGCAGAGGTGTCAGGAACAGCCCTGCCTTTGGAACTGGGGGAGATCGGCTTGGAGGGAGCAGCTGGGAGCTGGGGCAGGCTGGGCAGAGCGAGGGAGTCCCGAGGAGGAATGGCAGGAATGTGCCATGTGGGATGGGCACTGCCCTCCTGGAGGCAGGGTGGGGCACAGGAGGCTCAGGGGGCCCTTCTGGCTCTGCACAGCTCCCTGACAGGAGGGGACAGCCAGGGGGGTAGGGCTCTGATCTCAGGAAAAAAGGCACAGGATGAGAGGAAATGGTCCCCAGTTGCACCAGGGAGGGTTTGGGTTGGATATCAGAAAAAATTTCTCCATGTAAAGGCTTGCCAAGCACTGGCACAGCCCATCCAGTGGTGGAGCCCCCATCTCCAGGGGCATTTATAAGACACAGAGGTGGCACTTAGGGACACGATTCACTGGTGGCTTTGGCAGTAACAGGTCTGTGGTCTTGATGACCTTAAAGGCCTTTCCAAACCCAACTGATGCTGTGAGTCCAACCCAAACCCTTCCCTGAGCCCGTGGCCGCCGCCCCCGCCGTGCCAGTGCCCGCTCAAAGGGGACATTGTGCATTGTGGCCGTGGCCAGGCGCGGTGCCGGGCGGGCAGCGAGCAGCCCTGCCCCTGCCAGCCCTCTGCCAGCCCCCTGCTGCTGTCACTGCACGCATGGGCTGCTGCCTGGGGACCCCCTGGCACCCGGAGCTGGCGCTGGGATGCACAGGTAAGGGGTCTGTGGGGCTCTGCTGTGGCACTGGGGCTGGGGGAGCTGTGGCTGCAGAGCTCCCTCCATGGGATGGGACCCTTGGGGACGCTCTGGCGCTGAGCACTGGCCCCTCTGGCTACTTGGCCTTTCTGGGATGGCTCCTGCTCCTCCCTCCTCTTGGATTAGGGTGTGTGGGGAGTGAGGCAGGACATTTTGGCCAGGAAAAGGACAGGATGACTCAGGGCTTGTTTTATTCCCATGCTGTTGGCTTTTCCCCTCGCCACCCTCCCTGCCCAGGAGCCCTCCAAGCAGAGCCCGTGGGGTGCTGGCATCCCCCATGGCACCATTCCTGTTCCAGCGTGTCCCAGTGAGCTGGAGAAGGGCCATGGCTCAGGGCCAGCCGCTGTGGCCACATGTTCCCCGGCAGAGCCAGGGCCAGAAGGTGCCCTGAGCACCCAGCCCTGGAGCCAGGAGGGCAGCCCTGAGTGCTGGGACCTGCACCTGGCTCGGGGCTGGAGCTGTTTCCTGCCCACTGTTACAAAATATTTTGGCACTGAGGAGGTCAGTGAGTCACTGGCACGACTGGGAACAACTCCCCAGCTGCAGTTTCAATTGGTGCCTTTATAAAAAAAAAGCTCCCAGTTCCCTTTCTGAAATGAAAATAAACACTGAACCCGTGAGAGCAGCCAGAGTGAGCCCTGACCCCTTCCAGGCTCTGGGGACCCATGGACAGGCTCGGTCCTGCTGCAGGCACGGGTGGCACGGGCAGTGTCCCACCTGGCACCTCCTGTGGCACATCCCACGGGCACCTCTCGGGCAGGGGGAATCCTGCCGGGGATCCGGACGCCTCTGCCCACCCTCCGTGTTCCCCAGGTGAGGAGTGTGAGTCCTGCTGGCCCCGCTCCCCCGAGCTCCTGCCCCACTGGGACCGCCTGCACCGCCGGGGACAATGGTGGTGGGACACGACCACGGCACCAGGGACCCGTCCCCAGGGAATGGCAGCAGGTACCCAACCCCAGGGAATGGCAGCAGGTACCCAACCCCAGGGAATGGCAGCAGGTACCCAACCCCAGGGAATGGCAGCAGGGACACAACCCCAGGGAATGGCAGCAGGGACACAACCCCAGGGAATGGCAGCAGGGACACAACCCCATCCCCAGGGAATACCCACCCCATCCTCTGGGAATGGTACCCAGTCCCTGTCCCCAGGGAATGACACCCAGTCCCCAGGGAATGACACCCAGCCCCCAGAGAATGACACCCAGTCCCATCCCCAGGGAATGACACCCAGTCCCCATCCTCAGGGAATGACACCCAGTCCCCATCCTCAGGGAATGACACCCAGTCCCATCCCCAGGGAATGACACCCAGTCCCCATCCTCAGGGAATGACACCCAGTCCCATCCCCAGGGAATGACACCCAGTCCCTGTCCCCAGGGAATGACACCCAGTCCCCAGGGAATGACACCCAGTCCCATCCCCAGGGAATGACACCCAGGCCCCAGGGAATGACACCCAGTCCCTGTCCCCAGGGAATGACACCCAGTCCCATCCCCAGGGAATGACACCCAGTCCCTGTCCCCAGGGAATGACACCCAGTCCCCATCCCCAGCCCCTGCCAGGGTCTGCTGGGGCACAGAGGGGAGGAGGACAGTGAGGAGTGGAGCAATGGCAGGAGCCAGCTCAGATTTAGTTCTGCCTCTGTCTCCTTTCACTTCCCCTTCTCCATTTCCCTCACATGGAAGGGACTGAGCTGCCACACAAAATGTTAAGACTTTGTTAAATGCAGACCCTTTTCTTTCAAAGAAAAACTTACTAATGACCTGTCCAGGCTTGGGCTATTCTTTTCTACTTGCTAGCTCTACGTAAGAATTCTATTTCTCTAAATAAGAATTCTATTTCTGCATGAAAATACCAGTTTATTTGAGTGACTTAGCAAATGCCTATTTATTTGAGTGACTGGCAGAGCTGGCTCAATGAAAAGAACTGTAAAGCTGGGTTCTGGTCAAAGAAATGACTTTAAAAAGCTGCTGCACATTCCAGCTCCACATCTCCAGGTACATGTTTATCTTAGAAATCCAGTCTGATTACTGACAAAAATTGGCGTTTAATCTGGTTATCCTTCCACTGCCAATGCAGGGCTGGAGTTCTGTGTGCCTCAGCTTTCATTAACATAATTAGCAGCTCAAGCTGCAGACCCTGAATCCTTTATGGCAGTTGTTGATGATGTGTGGAGCAGGGAGAATGCTGCTTGGATTTTGGATACCCACCAGAGAAGGCAGGGGACAAAATCTCATTTTGATTTTCAAATGTTTGAAGGGAGTTTTGCAAGGCCTTGGCTCTCCCGTGCTGGGGAGTTGAGGCCTCATCCAAAAAAAAAAAATCTCTGTTTGGGATTCACCCTTTTAACAGATCTGCTCATCTGAGGGTCTGGCCAGGAGACAGGAGGGAAAATCCCCTCACTCCAGAGCCACTCCAGCACTGGAAAACAAGCCCAGAATCAAGGGAATGATGGAGTTAGACCCCATCAATGCCATGGATCTCTCTGGCCTTGAGCAGAGCTTTAGGGTGGTTCCAGACCCACAGAATCCCCAGGCAGATCTGCAGGGCTGTGCTCCTGGGGGCTCTCAGCTGAGACAGGACACCCACGAGCTCTTCCACAGCATTTCCCAGCAGCTCTGCTGTGTCCCCTCCTCTCCAGGGAAGGCTGGGGTGACAGAGCAGAGCAGCCCTGAGGCAGGACACGGCTCCCCGGACCCCTCTGTGGTGCTGCTCCCTCTCAGGCACAGCTTTCTGCCAGGTGAGGCTCTGCCTGTGGAATCTCACGGATTTCCTGGGGTTCCCTGCAGTGCCTCAGGTCTTGTCTTGGCGGCTGGAGGATGAGGATGGGCTGGGTTTGTGTTGTTTGAGCATCACAGCCGGGCTGGAGGCTCTGCTGGGCCTGGCAGGGTGGCAGGGGTGGCTCTGGGTGGCAGAGGTGACTCTGGGTGGCTCTGGGTGGCTCTGGGTGGCTCCATGTGGCTCAGGTGGCTCTGGGTGGCAGGGGTATCTCTCCATCCTCTTCCTCCTCCCCTTTAATCTCCTCCTCTTCCTCTCCAAGAGCTCTCACTCTCCTTCTCCGTGGAGAGCCGCTCCTCCCGGTGCCGCAATCCCCAGCTCCAGGAAGCTGCCAGGAAGAAGCTGTGGGCTCTGGAGAGCGATGACAGGGATGTCTGTGCCCTGTTCAAGGTAGAGACCCCATGGCAGCATGCTGGGATGTGTCTGGAATGGTGGGAGGTGGGCTGGGGTACCAGCTGAGTTCCCCCAAGGCCACTGCAGGGGACTCTGGAGGGGACTGGAGTGATGGGGAAGATGAACTGAGGGCAAGTGAGAGGCAGAGCTGAGCCTGGTGTTGTTTTGGGGGATCTGAGCTTAAACAGCCAGGAATTCACAGGGCTGGCATCACCAAATCCATGTCCCTGCTGGAGGTGACAGCTCTGGACGGGCACAGAGTTGTTTTATATAAACAAATCCCAGCTCCAGAGAGGATGCCTGGACTGAGCTCTCCTTCCCTGCTGGATTTCAAGGAGTGTCCCTTGATGCTGCTTTGTCTCCCACGTGCAGGAGCTGTCAGCCAGGCTGGTCTGTATGCAGGCACACGAGGATCGCTTCCTCCTCACCTTCAAAACCCTGGAGGAAGTCTGGAAGTTTTCCACGTATCTGACTTTAGGTAATGTTTCTAAGGTCTAAACAGACAGTGTGAGAAGGGTTTTTGGAGAAGGCATTTCCTGACACTACAGAACTGTAATGTTCAGGGTGGACAGTGAGAATGTGAATTAGGAAACTTTGCAATCCATTGTTTATGAAATCTCTGTTTGCATCAGTGAGAATTGGGAAGATTCGAATTTTGGAGACAAAATTTGCAGACATTTGGAAATCTCCAAGACCCTTCCTGCTGCCCAGGGAAGGAGATGCTGATCTTGATCCCCCTCTTGGCTTCTCAGGGTACGTGGGCACCTGCCTGGAGCAGCTGCTCTTTGCCCAGGAGTTCTGGCTGGACTGTGCCCTGGTGGAGGACACAGAGCTCAGGGTCAGCGTGGATGAAGAGCACCTGGCCACCATCTACATGGATCTGCTCCTCCAGGAAGGTGTGAGAGCAATGCACAGTGGGGAATTCCTGAAAATCCCCTCTGAAAATCCAGCAGCCACTGATCCAATCTCCGACTCCTTCTCTCTGCAGGGAACTTTTTCTGCAGGGCAGTGCCTGGAGCCTGGAAGTCAGAGCAGGAGGGAGAGGAGAGTCTGCAGCTCTGCAGGAATGAGCTGATCCATGTGAAGAGTGTAGGACAGGATTCCAAGTGGGAAGGGATGTCCCTGCTGACGGGACAGCGAGGCGTGGTGCCCGTGACAGCTCTGGAGCCAATACCTCACCCCTTTTACCAGTAAGTGGTGAATTAAAGTTCAAATTAAAGTGGTTCAAACCAGGAATCTTTCCTGATTTGATTTCCTGTGAGGCAAGAGCCTCACAATTCCATGAGGATATTTCCAGAAGGATCCACATTAAGCATAAGACTGGAATCAATGCAGGTGCTGTCAATGGGACACAGCAAGGACATGCTCCTACTTCAGATGTGCTTTTTGTCAGATATTGATTTAGGTCATACATGAGGTTATCTCTGATTAACAGATGAAGAAGTAGCAGAAAGAATTAAGGCAATGCCAGCCAAGGTGGGGCTTCACATTGGTCACCTGAGCCTTTTACCTAGAGAAATCTCCTTTAAAGATGGCAAATTTATCCTGCTCTTCCCCGGTGGTGTGACACCATCCCTGGGGCTGGGCTGAGCTCAGGAGTGCTCACCGAGGACCAGGGTCCCTTTTGCCTTGCAGGTGGTTCCTGAAGAATTATGCTGTGAGTTTTGGCCTCTCCCAGGAGATCAGTGGGACGAGCTCTCAGGCCATTGGTGAGTGACTCCTGTGCAAGGCACTGTCCCAGGGGTGAGCACAGCTCAAAGCCTGGGCTTGGCCACAAATGACCACAAATCCATTTGTTGTTCTGGGCCTGACCCCACTAGAGGGGCTCTAAGGGAATTCTGCATCTCTGCACTCTCTGGGATGCAGATCAGAACTTGCAAACCACGTTCTGATGATCACAGAGAGCTGCTGGTGACACCTTTCTGCAGCTGGGTTTTTCCTGAACTACTTCAATTTTTTGTTTCTTTTTGTTCTTTCAGGAGGGAGGTTTCAAATCATGAGGTTCCCACCTTGTGTTCCCATGAAACCTGTGCCCACCATCCAGCCCTTAACCCAGCCCAGTCCAGCTCAGAGCAAGCTGGACACAGGAGGGCCCTGCAGGTGTGACTTTGTCATGTAGGGATGGACATTTGCACTGCCTGAGATTTCACTCCTGGCAGAGCTGAGATAGGGCAGAGTCTGCGAAAATCCATATTTCTATTCACCTTCCAGGCTGCTTGCAGGGGTGTGGAGCTTATCCCTCTCTTGTTTTGTATTCTCATCCACTTCTCAAGGAGAAATGGCAGAGAGCTGGATCCAAGATCACAATAAATCTTAGGGGAGGGAGGGGCAGTCCTCTCCAGCTGGAATCACGGCCTCTCCTTGCCCAGGTTCCTTCCAGTGAGGAGGTTTTAGCAGGGATCCCACTGAAATTCCCTTTTTTGCTTTGGTTTCCCAGTCAAAGGCAGGTGCATCGCCACCGAGGACCACAGAGGAGCAGCGTGGGATGAGCTGAGCTTCTCCAAAGGAGACCCCATAGAAATCATCGGTTTCTTCATCCCTGGGCTGCCCTGGTTTGTGGGCAAATCCCTCAGCACCAGGAGCATTGGCTTCGTCCCCACCCGACACGTAAATCCCGAGCCCTGCCAACCTCTGTGAGTTTATTTAGATTAAATTCTGGAGGAAATGGAGGGGAGGCTCCAAATCCCACCTCAAGGCTGTGTGAGAGCCTAGGGCAGGTGGTTTCCTTTGCAGGACCTTCCCAGAGGGTGGGTTTGAGGTGTGAGCAGAAGCCTTGGCCAGGCTCTGCTGCAGCTCAGACAAAGAAATTGTATTTCACCTGCCTCAGGTGATTCTTGGAGAGGAACAGATCCAGCCCTGGGCTAATCTGGTTTCCTGCAAGCTGGCTTCCCACTTTGTCCTAGCAATGTCTTCAGTTTGTAGCTCTGAGGGGCTGGGGGTCTGGCAGGGGTGGGGAGAGCATTCCCTGCCGAGGAAACCAAATCCTGCTTTCCTTCCTTCTGCCCCTGGATGTGGAGGCAGAATGGCCACTGGCACAGAGCAGAACTCCACACCCTCCCAAGGACACAGCAGGAGCTGTTCAGGGAGGGAGGGTGATAAATCCCACCCTGACTCAGGCAGTTGGCTCTGTTGGTGGCTTCCACTCGATGCCCATCCCAAAAGGCTTCTCCAAGAGTGTGTGTAGGAGGACAAGGCTTTAACCAAGGTCTGCTGAGCTTTCCTCTCTCAGAGTCACCCAAGGTGAGTTGTAGCACTTTTCTCTGATGCTCCAGAAGGGACAGAGCAGATCAAGTGGTATCTTGTGGCTTCTGGATTCCAAAAAAGACCAATAGATCCTTTTCTCTGGTACCTTTCTGTTCCTTCACGGAGAACCTGGATGAGGAAGGTGTCCAAAATCCTGTGTTCATCTGCAGCAGAACTTCTGTGGTGGGAGGAAGAGAAGGGATGAGAAAACCCAT